CTTTCACCGTGGACGAAGCGGAGTCCAGCCCGGGGTCGTCACATGTGGTTGCCGCAAGGCCGCCGGCCGCTCCTTCGTCGAATCCGCCAGCCTCCGCTCTGAATCCCCTGGCCTCCGCTCACTCTAGCCGCCGGCCGTTCCTCACTCAAGGCCGTGGTGTGTGACGCTGTGTTTCGTTGTGAAAGCGAAACTACTTTGTTTGGGGCGCAATGTAGGGATATGTCATTATAATCCATAATTATTGCGATTAATTGCTCATGCTTTTATCACGGTATACAGTATTATCACGGTATTGCAATTTAGTTTTTTTTTTTAAGTGCTGTCATAATACAGTATAACAGGTTTAATAGCTTTTTTCTTATAACAAAAATAACTGAACATTTAAATGCAATAAAGCAATACAGAAAAATTTATAAAGTTAAAAGTTTTAAGGGGTAACGGCTGCATTTAAATGAATTATTGTTATTATTATTATTATTTCTGCAGTTTAGCGCCATCTGTTGTCAGAGAGTGAAAGTGCGCTTTCATCCTGAGCGTCTCTCACATGTTCCGCCGTGTGTTTCTTGTCCGCGCTTGTTTACATCAGTGCGCACACGTCTTTCACGCAGCATACAGCGGTGTTGTGCATTTTGACCAGTTGATGGGAAAAGTATTCTTAAAATGCATTCAAAATTCGGAATAATTTGTAATATATAATTATTCACGGTATTTAGAAGTGCCCACGATAACAATATCGTGCATATTCATTACCGTGATTTATCGCATTACCGAATACTGGCACAAGTCTATATGTGAGGGGCGTAACATTTCCGTCTCACGCTTGAGGTATTCGGCCAATCACAACGCACTGGATAGCTGGCCAATCACAGCATACCTCGCTTTTTCAGAACGATGAGCTTTGTAAAAATACTGCTCCGGAGAGCTATTCGAGGCTTAGTGTATCCCATCATGCATCATGTTCTGGAAATAAATCGTTAGACTTTTTAGAAAATTTGGTTTTATTGGTGCAAAGATTAGTGGTGATATTTTATCACTTAATTAGAAGCACCACAAATTAAAATTATGTCATGTTATAGGGACTACTGAACAGACATTTAGAAGTTGATTTTAAAATGCAAAGTATTTAAAATTAAAATAAAGCTATGTAAACACTTGCATTTTTACAACACTAAGTGTGTCCCATCAGGTAATGAAAAGTTCGACACACACTTGTGGTCTTCATCCTCACTTGAACACTTGGGCTAAATACAGGAAATACGTCACATAAGTAGTCAAGTGCATTTGGACAAGGCATTACTATGGCAACACAATCAACGCCTAAACAGAGCCTGCGGTTGTCAGGTGGTACAAGTCGTAGCTCTCAGAAAACTCTCAGTTCACAAGCTGTAATTACGAGTTCTACGAGGACGTGAACGCTTTTTACAAGTTGGAATCTCGTAATTACGGGAATTCCGATATGGCGTGAACACACCTTTACACCAAATTCTGTGACCATCGTATTTTGTGACTGTAGTAGGCGCTTTTGTCACTGTTTAGCTTTAGTTGATAGGTTCGCGCGTGAAACGCACCTGGCGCCCGTGTACGTTATATGAGTTTATACAAAGTTATATGAGTGCCATCCGCCTATCTCTATCTGTCTGTCTGTCTGTCTATCTATCATCTATCTAAAATATTAAAATGAACAATTAACATTAAAAACCATCAGCATCCGACCACAAGTCGTTTTATTAGCCTATGGTAAAACAAACCGTGAAAAGTAAAATAGAGAAGGCAATAGCACTCCAAGAGCTTGTTGATGTAAATAAACCGTACAATTAAATAAACTGTCCTCCGAGCGCGAATACTGACCGACTGTCTACAGAAACTAATAATAAACCGTGTTCTTACCTTGCTGTGCATAGTTAAGAAAACAGTACAACAAAAAAATAATAAACACAAAACACAAAAACATTCTACACAGAAAATGATTAAAAACTAGAGCCTATCAAATATTTGTTATCCTTTACATTTTCGATGACTGCACTATGCTAAAAGCTAACAGCTCGCACGAGGGGGCCCCGACTCGACTGAGCCGCCTTCTTCTTCTTCTTCTTAATGTTTTACGGCGGTTGGCAGCCAGCGTAATTGGTGCATTACCGCCACCATCTGCTCCGGAGTGTGGATCAGACAACACAGGCTGTATCCGAAATCGCCCCCTATAGGCCTACCCTCATTCACTATTCCCTACATTAGGTCACTAATTCAGTTCGCTTGAAGGAATGAATGAAAACAAGTGAGTGAATTCAGACACTCAGTGCACCAGATAGTTTGTGCTTGCTGTTTAATAATCACTTAAAACTGGCAAATTGGCAGCTCCAGTAGAAAGATTAAAGGATTTATCTTGAACTCTGTCATGGAAATTATGTATAGACTCTGGTTAAACAATTTAATAGTCAATTTACAATTAATTTGTCACCTAGGCTACGCACTCACTCAATCATCTCTCTCACTTACAGTGGTGGCAAATGTAGTTTTGGCCTCTGTAACTGCAGATCTAACCACCTAGAAAGGATGTGCTGTTGTTTTATTCCAGTGCCTCATTGCGTCCGATATTCGTTTAGCTTTTTCGCCTTTACAAGTATTACATAGCAGCAGAAAAGGGATGCAAACTCATCATGGGTGAAAAAGGTGAGAAAGACACGCAACCCACAAAATGTTTTTTTTTTATTCTTCAATGGGAATTTTGACCTCCTTAATAGTGTAACAGTGTAAGACTGAGCTATTTGAGTCAACATTTGACTCAACTGATGATATTTATATGTCTATCCAAAAGAGAAGGAAACCTGTTTGAAACCAGTCCTTTGCATTTCTTTTTTATAAATCCTGAGATGGTTAATTTAATTTAATTTCATATCTCCCAAACGTCCATTTGCCTGAAACAACAACAGAGAATTATGTTACACATGTAACCCATATTAGGTATGTTTTTGATTCTTTGAAGAAACTGTCAAACATGAAAAAAGCAGCATCATATTTCAACTAAGCATAAAGGAACATAAATGGGTACTGTCATAATTATGTATTCTTATTAAAATAGAGGTGACACAGGTTAGAAACGTTTGAAGGAACAAAAACAAAAAATGAAAACATACTAAATTTTTTGCAGAACCAGAAAGTAAAAGCACAGTGTAATTTAATGTGTAATCAGTGTTCTTTTAATCTAATCAACCCCAGTTAATTAACCCCAGTTCAGTCGGTAGATCCATTACAAAAAAAAAACATAACTGGACTGGTGTACCTTCAGAATTTAAATCATGTTCCTCTCTCCACCATCATCGCAAACGTATCTGTGATCTAGAAAGACACAGATTATATGAAAACATGTACCTATACATCTAAAAAAATAAAATAAATTAGAAACATACTGCCAAAACTGTTCATCTCTAGTTCATAGAGTTTAAAATGTCAAAACAAGAATATATATAAACAAGAGATTTAATGCAAGACACTACTGGCAAAACCATTGTTTTTCATACACTGGTCAATTTTAAGATTTTGGGCTATTTTGCTTTCATAACATGTCTTCTTTCAGACTATTGGACAGAAAACATCCTAAATAATACAAATGTAAGTGTAAGTTTTCTCTGGCTGATGACAGTATTTTCTGATTTACAGAGAAATCTAACATCCCCTCGGTAATAACCTCTAATATGTCAACAAAATTAAACAAGAATTCTGAACTTGGCTTTATCCAATGTTCAGATTCATGTTCTGGAAAATTATGCAAATTAGTTCATATTAAATTAGAGTGCGTCATTTGCATATTCATAATATAATTTCAGTAAAATTGGAATACAAAAAATGTTTTCAATTCTTTAAAGTCTGTGTGAAACAGAAGCTGCTGCTGACTTTATTTCAGTATAGTGACGTATTTCCAACTGAAAGGGAATATTGAATAGAGGGCGAATTATTTTTGCGCTCCTTGGCTCCTCCTCTCCATCTCTCATTCATAGCAAACTAACGGTTGGAGGGATGTGGTTAAGGATTTTCTGGCCAAGCTATTCATAGTTTTCACGTGACTCGTTACGCCTACGTCATACGCTCGACCACCTAGTTGTGAACGCCTGCTTGAGCGACCAGAAGCTGGACATTACAGTTGATAAAGTTTTAAGAATCTATATTTTTGTTAAACTAACGCATCGTTTCGCTTCAGAAGGCCGTTATTAACACCCTGGAGCCATGTGGAGTAGTTTTATGATGGATGGATACTTTTTTTTTCAGAATCAGAAACGGGGGCACCATTCACTGCAATTATACAGATTGGAACAGACAGGACAATGTCGAATATAACTCCGAATGTGTTCGTCTGAAAGAGGAATGTCAAACATGCCTAGGATGCCTTGGGGGTGAGTAAATCAAATGGTTCAGGTCATACTTAGAAGGGAGAGGTTATTATGTGAGTATAGGAGAGCATAAGTCTAAGTGGACGTCTGCATTTATTGAATGAGCACTGTGCGAT